GGAACTTCAGCTGTGATGCCTTCATTTGATGTTATTGGCAGCTGCTGAAGGTTACTGCTGGTCCTGGGCAATATCAAGCACAGACCAGGTTCTTGGCTTTGTGAGCAATCAGCATTCATAATCACACATAAATCATGGTTAGCAAAGGCCTCTACACAGCACCATCTTGGCCCTGCTGTCCCTGCCTCACACATAATAATGGCTGGTAATGAATTGTAATGTCTTTTATACTGTTCCTAATATTGTCTCCATATTCAAAAACTTTTCATTGTTCAGGCATTTGTGCCACTGAATGGGGATCTCCAAGCTGCTGAGTGTGAAGGCTAGGGTGAATGACAGATCAAGTGAGGGTGACAGCAATTGAAAGGCACAAGCGAATGGGAGGGTGGGTGCATGACAGGGCAGGGCATTCACAGAGCTGGAGAGTGACAGAGCCAGAGGGTCACAGAGCGGGACGGTCACAGAGCAGGAGGGCGACAGAGAGGGAGGGCGACAGAGCGGGAGAGTGACAGAGCAGATAGTGATAGAGCAGGATAGTAACAGAGTGGGAGGGTCACAGGCCAGGTGAACAATTTGCAGTGTTGTCGGAGATAGAAGGGATTGCCATGTATTGATCTTTAACAATTTTCCAATCTTCCACCCTCGGAGAATCTGGAGCCAACTGGAGCCATTTAACTTGCCTATGCTGCACAGTAGGGAAGTAGCTGCTGAAGATATTGAAGAATACATTAAAACAGTGACAGCTTGGATTTGTATAGTGCCAATACTGTAGAAAAATATCCTTTTGTTGTTTCAAGGACTGTGACTATCCCTCCTGCCCCCATAAAAAGCTTATGCCTGTCCACTTTCTCACGACAATTGCTGTCCCACTTACTGTTGAAATTGATGCTCAGGGCCAGAACCTTTAGGAGTCTGAATAACTATGGCAAGGTGTGTAGCAGAATCAGGCAGCAGACATGAGACCCACTTCAATGTCGGGAACAACTCAGGCCATCTTTTAAATTGAGTGTAAAATAATCTTTGATAATGATTCCAAAACTTGGTTTGCATTTTGAGGTGAACTTCAATCTCTGTTGGTTTTGTTTGTGTTCCCGTTTGCTTTTTGTAAGTCAAAGCTCATGCTTATTTTTTGATTTTGACCGATTGCTTACCTGTATGTGATTTTCCCTTAATGGACAAAAGGTTGTACCGCAGGCATTGGAGACAAAGTAGCAGTGATTTTCAGAGGGTGGTTAGACAGGATGTAGATATGGACAGGTTAACTGTGTGGCGTGGTAGTTAAACAGCAACTAGGGTGAGTGAATGATGGGGTTGTATCAGCAAGAGAGTGGCAGCCAGGTTGGCTATGTGTCGTGGGCAGCAAGGCTTTGGGACTGCTGTGCCATGACAATGCTAGTGAGGGACAATGTCAGATTGCCAACATTTAATCAGGTCCACAGCAACATTTCAAAGATGACGCTGGTGCATTAGATGCCAGTATTTCAGCAGATATCTGCTGAGCAGTGAGTTGTTGTGGGAATGGTGCCAGGTAAGAATAGTGCATGGGACAGAAATCAAACGTGAGAGATGCCATCGAGGTGTGATAGGTAATAAATAAGGCTAGTTTAGTAAGATATGGTGAGAGAATTTGCCAGGCCTCCTGTTGAATAACACGCCGTAAACTTAAATGCAACTCAGACTTAGCCAAATAATAAGATTCAGCCCCATAGAAACACTACCTGATCTGACCCTACTCTGAACTGTAATCTGATTCAGCCATCTCACTGGCTTAATGTAGATGGTTCAGGTCTCCAGTGACAACATTGAACAAGTGGAAAATCACGCTGCCCACTATACAGTCAATCTGTTCAAAGAGGTACCCCACATTTTACAAAAAAAGCATAAAATAGTGATATGGATATGATCACCAACCATTTTTTGTGAGAATCCAGTCATTGCCATTAACAACAGTCAGATGCTTCCATTTAATTTAACAAATGCTATTCATTAAGTAACACAGATTACATTTATTATCATTGGCATTCTCTTCAGTGGTCCAAACATTAAGCTGAGGTCAGTTTTATTTTTTCTTGTTGACCCTGTTCTCAATTGAGTGTTGAGCTGTTGACCTAATCCACTTCAAGTCATTCAGTTCTGTATCAACAAAACCCATAAACTTTCTGACAGCAAGATACCTAAGAGTTATATTTACTTAGTTCAGCTCTTGCTGATTCAGCCTATTGTATAACAAACACTATTTTTAGATGATTATTATTTATTATAAAAAAATTTTTATACAAATAGTAATCTGAAAGGCTTTTGCCTCAAGGAATACAAAAGTGGCAAGGTGAACTTTTAGTTGTGTCAAACTTTGATTATACACTATTTAGGGATAACCATCATCATGTCTGTAACAGCTGTTTGTAAAAGCTATCCAACGAAATCCCCTCCTGCTATTTTCCAATATCCCTACAACTTTTCTCTTCAAATGCTTTTCCAACTTTCCATCTGAAAATTATCTTTCTACAATTCTACACTGTTCACAATACTTCCAGTCTATATTGGGCACAGAGGATTGCAATGTGAAATTTGGAGGCTTTGAATTTAATTTTACTTTGTAAACATGACAGTCGTGAGTCGGATTTCTCCCTACAATGTCCACATTTTTACTCAAAAAAAATGAGTAACATTCAACCATGCTCTGTTCATATAAATCATCGGTTATGAAATTGATGGTAAAAGGAAAAAGTAAAGCAATTAGCTATTGTAATATCAGGCCATGGAGAAGGGAGGTTTCCATTGCTGGTCAATCTTAGCAGTTGGGTGATACAAGTAGCCCCTGGGCTGAGCTCTCTGCTCTGCATTACCACTAACTGACCTCTGTTGGTAAGTATATGTCCTGATGTGAGGTCTGGACTTGCTTTGTCTGTGATATTCTATCTGAATGACCTACCAACTTTGTGTCCATGCAATTAGACCCAACACCCAGGAAATAAAAGAAAAACAAAGGAGCACCTTCTTTAACCATTGTAGCTTCGCTGAGATGTGGTGCCCTAAATACATTGCAATGCAATTTTCCACACAGTGGCTAATCAAGGTTTGACAGAGTTAAACCTTTACTTTGTCACTTTTGTATTCATTGAGATAAAGGTTTTTTGGAGTACTATTTGTACAAGTTTTTTTCTAATAAATAATGGTTAACTAAAAAATGGAGCTTATCACACAATACAGAAGCTGTAAGACCTCGAACTTGACCCTGTAGTTCTCTCCACAGTAAAAAAAAATCATGGCTGAAGAAAGCTAGTTTATCTCCCCACTTCATTTGCTGTAACCTGTGATGCCTCACCAATAATTCAGAGACTTTATCATTTGTGAACCAGTTGCTCATGACTACTGGAAGTGAAAGTACCTGGAGAAGGAAGTTCCTAGTTTTTCCTTGCACCCATATCACCCATTTCCTTTGTGTTTGTCCATCTGAATGTAAGGAAGGGCTAGAGATTTAACTAGTAGTTACATATTGATGGCTCATAATTATTTATCTGTAACTGGAATCTACTCATTTGTAATAGTCATTCTTGTTAACTGGAGAAAATTGGTGAGTGCTTTCTGTTAACTTGGGCCTGAAAGATCGAAACGTGGTGGAATTTTGTGATGACTTCGGGAGTAACGAGGCTTGGTTTCCAGCTCACTACACCTGTCACCAGAATTGGTGTGCAGAATCTTATGGAACCCTGAGCAATGTGGGCTATTGCAAAGAATGTGGCAGAATCAGGTGAGATATCCAGCAAGGCCTATCGACGTCAGGAGCATCTCACTGCATCTTTTAACCAGCTTCCAGGATTCCTTCAAGGGAGTAGTGAATCGCCTATTAAAGGCAATTGTTGCTTGTTGACCACCTCATTAACTTCACATCTCACCTTATTAATACACAACTTCCTATCCTATCACCCATTGTTAGCAAATTAGGTACCAAGAATTCTTGGCATGGAAGTCAAAGCGGGCAACTGGCAACTTCTCCTCATCACGTTCTCCAAGGACTTCCATGTTGGACACTGGGTTCCAGCATCCCTGGACAAGTAACCCCTGTCCAAGATCATTGGCATCTGACACATGCCAGCCTCTGAGAATCCTCAAGGTACGCTTTCAAGCCACTCATAAGACACTTCTGCATGTTGTAGCAGCCTGCAACTGTTCAAGTGAAATAAAAATCATGAAGAAGGCAGGCCAGAAATGCAAGCACAGCAATTGAAATACACAGGGCATCAAAATTGGCCAAAAAGCAAAGTATGCTGGGAATACCTGATACATGACTGATACAAGGGACAATTCTGCCTAGAGACAAATCCTTGCAAGATCCAAAACCAAACCATTGAAACCAGACAGGCACCAGAACACATCAGGAAGTGTGAAAGGGCATATCAACTCTTCCTGACAAGAAGACAACTATAGATAAAATCCGAAAGAACTGCGGATGCTGTAAATCAGGAATAAAAATAGAAGTTACTTGAAAAGCTCAGCAGGTCTGGCAGCAGCTGTGAAGAAAACAATCAGAATTAACGTTTCGGGTTCTGTGACCCTTCCTCAGAACTACAGATGCATGGAGCAGACATGCCTCCCTGGTACAAATGTGGAATATCCCACAGCAACACCATAACATGCCAGCCTGGTCTGAGGTTAACACTTCGGTCAGTGCAGTTTGAGTCAGCTAGAGGAATGCACAGCACTGTAGGAAGAAGGTCAATGTCATTCTTCACTCCACCAGCACAAGTGCCACTATCTTGTAGACAAAAGACCACGTGTATTTTCTGAGATGAAACCCAACAGCAGACCCAACAGCAGGTACTTCAAAGCGGTCACTGTTAAGCAAGCCATCGAGAGACATTAGCAGTATTTCAAGGTGATAAATCCAATTAATTTGAAACCTCGGATTGGTCAAGTCCTTGGAAAGTTCCAGAAGGTAGCCAGGAGGGTATAAGAACCCAGCGTGGCAAGACTCAGGGTACCCCACTCTCCAGCCTTACCTAGAGGTACGTCAGGATACAGCAGTGACCAGAGCAACTCGCCCTTCGGCCAGAAAGAATCAACCTGTGAAGAGAGAAACAGACTGATCAATTCGATAGACCAGCAAAGTTAGAGGTATTTGGGCAATTATTTTAAGTTTCTAAAGAATCGGATAACTAGAAATAGAGTTGCTAAAAGTGGCAAGTTTAACTCTTAACCTTTGTTGTCTTCAAATAAAGTTGCGACCTGGTTCACTGACTGCAGACTCATGCTGTGTAGTCCTTTCCTGATACATGCTAAGGTGCCTGGGTAAATTAATATTGTGTACACTGGCTGAGGAGTCTGCGAGACCTTAGAGGTACCCTGCTCCAGACAACACCTTCAATGCTGCACCTCTGGGGACATGGAACTATCAACATAGTGCCACAGAATGGACACTTTGCACTCAGGCACTCATTCAGGATGATTTCCACATAAGGGCTGAGGAAACAAATGTCTAACAACCCACCAGCCATCTTAATGTTCTCTGCCCAGTGGGGAATTACTTTCTTCTGGAAATGAGAGACAGAAATGTATTAAGAGAGATGAAAGTGAATGGGACAGCTGTTATTTTGTGTTCATGTGGGAGGTGGCCCTTGCTAGCGAGTGGGCAGTGCAGAGGGCATTCAGGGTTAGTGGTGTCGGGGGTTTGGAATGGGAGGGCAGGACGGGAAGATGTTGCAGGAAATCATGACAATGGTAGATTCTTGGTGGGAGGTGGGCACTGGAGCAAAGATAGAATGAGTGTGAAGTATTGGAGAGAAGATGGTGGCACTTGTGCTGGTGGAGTGAAGAACAACATTGACCTTCTTCCTACATTGCTGTGCATTCCTCTAGATGACTCAAACTGCACTGACCCAGATGTCAACATCAGACCAGGCTGGCATGATATGGTGTTTTGCCGTGGGATATTCTACATATGCCATATACCGTCTACCAGATCTTCCAAGTCACTGGCTGCAAAGCATGTGCCAGAAGGGAACTTCTCTGCCATGCCTGAGGCAAATATCAGGAAACAGGCAGGGCAGCCCCAGACATCTGCACTTGTCCAGGGGCACGTTAAGGATGCCAGTCCATTATAGCATGTCCTGGCAGTGGTGAGTTGCTTCGGGTACAGCGAGTGGTAGGATGGGGCTGAAATCAGGCAGTAGGGGTGGGGTTGGTAGTTGCTGAAGCGAGGTTGGTAAGATACAGCAAGAGACTTCATTGTGCCATGCAGCAAGAAACTCTCCATGAAACTTGACAAAACTGACAGCCAAAAATATTCAGTCCAATATCTCTTTATCTTCTCTTGCAAATGCTTTCATGATTGTGAACATTACTATTAAAACTGCTGAACATTCTCTGCTCTTAGACCTCAGTTTATCTATTTTCTTCCCATAACCGAAGTCCTTTATCCTTGGTATCATTCTAAGCCATCTTCTCTGCAACCTCTCTAAGTACTTGACATCCTTGCTGACGTGTGGTGTGCCTCTATTCATAAAGCCAAAGATTACACAATACTTTTTTAGCAACCTTCTCAATATTGCTTAGGTATACTCCTAGGTCTCTCTGTTTCTCCAGCATCTTTAAAAAGACACCATTTAATTTCTATTGGCTCTCTTATCAAAGTTAATCACTACACTTTGCATTAAATGTTAGTTGCCATTTGTCATCACAAAATTCTATGTTCTACTGTACTTTATTAGTTTGTGGAATGTGGATATCACTGTCAAGACCAGCCATGAGAAGGCGGTGGTGAGCTATTTGAACCACTGCAGTCTTCTGTTGTAGCAGTTTGGTATAACTGAATGGTTGTTAAGTTATTTCTGGTGACAGGCACCAGTCAACCAAATTGCTGTAGATCTGAAGTCACATACACACCATCCTGTTTACTGTTGTCAGTTCCCTTCCCTAAAGGACATAGGACATAATTTTCTCCTCCCTGGAGTTGGTGAGAGAAGTGGTAAGAAGGGAAATAATTGGGCAAATTGACCCTGGGGAGAAACTCACCCCCTCTAAGTTCTGGATGTGAAGGAACATGGATGACCTGTTCAACCTACCAACAATTAAGGCCCTCATGTGGTCAATTAATGGTCACTTAAAGGTTTCAACTCACCACCTCCCATGATTACTTGCCTCCTGGCGAACAGGAATGGTGGCTAACTTTCCAATTGGAAAACCATGGCCAAACCATGGTGACCTACCTGCTAGGCTAGGGGGTGAACTCCAATTACCCAAACTGGGTTCAATTAGAGGCATGAGTGTGGACAAGGAGGTGGTCTGTGAAAGCCATCCCCAGTTTTTCCCCTCAGTTCTTCTGATTCTCATCTTACTGTGACCTATACTCTTAAAGAAGTGTATAAAAAGTACTTCCCTTCTCAGCACTGGATTTCCAGAGGAGTAGGCCTGAATGAGTGGACTTTAGGCCCTAAGGGGAGGCAATGGCCTAGCAGTATTATCACTGAACGTTAATCCAGATAACCTTCTGGCGACCTGGGTTCAATTCCTGCCATGGCAGATGGTGGAATTTGAATTCAATAAAATACCTAGAGTTAAGAATCTAATGATGAATTCATGAATCCGTGAAAATCCACTGTCAATTGTTGGGGGAAAACCCACCTGGTTCACCAATGTCCTTTAGGGAAGGAAACTGCCATCCTTACCTAGTCCGGCCTACATGTGACTCTAGACCCACAGCAATGCGGTTGACTCTGAACTGCCCTCTGGACAATTAATGCTGCCTAGCCAGCAACATCCTCATCCCATGAATGATTAAAGAAATCTGCCAATTTGAGTGCCAAGGCCTATGGTTTGTAACAAACTCACTCATGGCAACCTGTAATCACTATCTAACATATTCACCCCTATAGGGAATATTTCACTAATCATGAACCAAATGTGTTTTTGTAACAAAATCTGGCAGTTTCACCATTTCTGTATATTTGCGCCATTTTACAGAGGTTATATTCCTCAAAAATCTCGCAAAAAGTTCAACAGCAATTTCCACAGATGACAAACATGGCAGACTACATGAAACACATGTGTAGCGAGTGTGCACTTTTCTTCTGAAAGTAAGATTTCTTGTAATTGTTTTGCTTTAAAAGTGCAAAAAGCAGAAATTATATTTACGGTGAGTGAAAAGATGCACGGATAAGTAAATTCAGTAAAGATAGTCATGCAAGCAGCTGGATGTCACTGTACAAGAGTGGCAATATTTTCAAAATTATCTAAATAGCTGTAAAGCATTTTGTGACATCATAAAAGGTACTATACAATTGTAAGATCTTCCATCCTTAAGACTGTTTAATTTTGTCCTGTTTGTGGAAATTCAAATTACAGGGGAATATAATGCTTTTCATGCTCTAACAAAGAACAAGACAGATTCCTGCTCAGCCATGTGGCGGAATGAAAGTTGGAACTTCAACCATTACTAGATATCTGTAGACAACAATATGCATGTGAAGGTGCAGTTTGCCATAGCAGCACGGAGTCCTTGGGAGGTTGGTTTGTTCTCTTGGCTAAACGATCGATTTGGATCAGATTGGTGACAACCGCATGGGATGCAACTTCCAGGTAGGGTGAAATTCACAACCTACCTCCATACCTTTACGTATGGTGTAAATCACAGGGCTGACCTTCACAAAGAGAACTGGAGAAGAAAATTTTAAAATAATATATAGTTCATTGCAATCATGTCTATTTATAATGATCTAAAGTACATTTATTTTGCCACAATTACAATGTAACAATGTATGCATTAAAATATCACGGGTATGTTTTCAGAACACAACAGTTTTCAGTTCTCAGTCAGTAGTGCATAAAAGTATCCTTGAGCTCCACACTGTGGCTAAACAATAGTAGTACATTCTTAGACTGCACTACCGTATCACATGCTGACTATATTTTCCTCTTTTCCTAATATGAGCAATAAAGTTAACGTTAGTGTATGTAACAATGGGAGAAAAATATACCCAACAGTTCAAATTCTAATGGAACATAAATAATGGAACACAAGATTCTTGTGAAGCTTGCTCTAAAGTTTCTGATGTGACAACAGCAATTATACTTCAAAAGTGCCTAAGTGACTGTGAAGCTGTTTAGGATGTCCCAAGGTTATCAACTGAAGGCACAAGATAAGTCATCATCTTTTCTTAATCAAGGTTAGAGTTGTTATTTCTGGAAGTTGTTATTCCTTTGCATTGGCTCTAACACTAAAAGGACAGGCTCCATGTGCAAAATGAAGCATTTACTGCTTCAGATTTACAGTCTCTTATCAATTTGAACTTTCTAAATATTAAGTTACGATCATGTTCAACACCCTCAACACCCTTTCCACCCCAGAAAAATCAGCTTATCTCCCAAGTCAGGCAAAACAAAGAAACTCATAACATTGCCAACAGATACAGCTGGCACACCTCCCACTTCCAGGAATGCACCTCTTCTCTTTATAGAATTACTTTTTCAATGCAGCAGCAAGACAGGTTTCTGCCTCTAACTTTTTAAAAGATAATAGAATGTTCTTTCTTGCCATGATGATTGCCATGAGAATCTAAACAACATTTTCACTTGGTCCAACAGAATATAACCACTATCCGTTATGCACCAGCCACAAAGCTAAGGTTAAATTATCTAAGATATGGAAGTGTGCTTGAAAGATTCAAGAGGTTATGCCAGCTAATTCCAGTGCTCTGTTACTCATGCTGCACCATGGTCAAACTGTGACCACCCTAACATTGGGCATTGTCCTCACTGAAAATGTCTTTCTTATCAGCCCCTTCACTTTTAACATGGAAGATAATGCCCATTAGATCAGCTGTCTTTTGTGATCAGCAGCATTGGCTCAATTTCCCTTGCAAAGAGCTGGCATGTTCTGAACAAGTTGAAGGGCCTCCTGTGCTGTAATCTTTCTAGGATTCTGTGATTAATTATAAGCATAATTACAATGTGGGGTGTGGGATCTGTGTCAGAAATAGCCCCTTCTACAGGAAACAACTGTGCTATTTCATAGCTGGATGGATCACTGTCTTCAACAATCACCCAACTCTCACCTGTAACTCTGTAAG